GAAAAGAAAAAAGAAAAAAAGAAAAAAATCATTTAGATTTTTATTTTTTAATTTTTTTTAATTTATTTTTATTATTTTTTATTTTTTTTTATAGTTTAATGTATTTTAATAGCAAACTTATAGGAACAGCACAGAAGACAGACAACATTAAAAACATGTACTTGCATGTAAGACAACTCAGTTAGAAAAGTATAGTGAATGGATGGAATCTACTGTATGATAAAATGCTACAAACACCATTTAGTTGCCGTCAATAAGAAATTTACTTGTTTTAAAAAAATCCAAATGCTGGCATTGTCCAGAAAAATTTAGCAGGTTTATTTATAATTATTATAAAGTTGAACAGCTGAAACTTGTTCTCTGAAACATTTTAACTTGCATTAATGCTTTACGTCTCCGCATTTATATTAAAAATTCACACGCAAATGAAAATGGAAAAACTACCAATACCTGATTTCTGTCCCCTATTTTTCCACTCGCAATCACATACTTAGGTACCTTTTGACCCCATGGAAAAAAAATTATCTAACATTCAGAACTACCAGTAACAGGAAGAAGAGAATTTTTTTTTTTTTTTTTAGAATGAAATGTTTCCCATCATAGTGGATTCTTAAGCACGCTCTCCACGTATGCGGCGTGCCAGCTGGATGTCTTTTGGCATAATTGTTACACGTTTGGCATGGATAGCACAAAGGTTGGTGTCTTCAAAAAGGCCAACCAGATAGGCCTCACTTGCCTCCTGCAAAGCACCGATAGCTGCGCTCTGGAAGCGCAGATCTGTTTTAAAGTCCTGAGCAATTTCTCGCACCAGACGTTGGAAGGGAAGTTTGCGAATCAGAAGTTCAGTGGACTTCTGATAACGTCTAACTTCACTGAGTGCCACAGTACCAGGCCTGTAACGATGAGGTTTCTTCACCCCTCCAGTAGAGGGCGCACTCTTGCGAACGGCTTTTGTAGCCAGTTGCTTCCTGGGTGCTTTACCACCGGTAGATTTGCGGGCAGTCTGCTTTGTACGAGCCATGGTATAGAGACCTCTTACTTACCCCCCTTCTCCTTCGGCTGGAGCTCGGCAAGCGAGAGCAGATTTTTAAAAGTAAATGATCTGTAATAGTTTTCTGTTTGTTTTAGAGACAGGATCTTGTTCTGTTGCCCAAGCTGGAGTGCAGTGGTGTGATCATGGCTCACTACAGCCTTGAACTCCTGGCCTCAAGGGATCCTCCCCGTTCTTACCCCCAAATTCCTACCAGTAGCTGGGACTATAGGTGCTGCCACCATAACTGGCTTTTTTTTTTTTTTTTTTGGTAGGGACTGAGTCTTACTATGTTGCCCAGGCTGGTCTTGAACTTCCAGACTCCAGTGATCCCCTCACCTTGGCCTCCCTAAGTGTTGGATTACAGGCATCAGCTACCATGCCCAGCCTGGCGATGTAGTTCATGAGTATTTATTATACTTTATAATTTACATGCTATGTATGTTATTTTCCAGCTATCGAACCATATATATATATACACATATGTATGTATGGTTTTTTTTTTTTTTAAACAGGGTCTGGCTCTGTTGTGCAAGCTGGGGTGCAGTGGCACAATCATAGCTCACTGCGGCCTGCAAGTCCTGGATTCAAGTGATCCTCCTCCCTCAGCCTCCCAGGTAGTCAGGACTAGGACTACAGGCATGCACTACAATGCCTGATTATTATTATTACTATTTTTTTTTTTTTTTACAGAGGTGGGATCTCCTTCCTTTCTTTTCTTTCTCTCTCTCTCTCTCTCTCTCTCCCCCCCCACCCTCCCATTTTCTTTCTTTTCACCTAGTCTGGTCTTGAACTCCTGGCCTCAAATGCTCCTCCCAATGTGACCTCACAATGCACTGGGGTTACAGGCATGAGCCACCATGCAGCCCCTGCAAAATCTAACTGTTCTCCAGGTGCTTCTTTTGGATCTCCTAGCTAGACTGTCATTGGCAAATACTAGTTTATTATTTTCCAGCATTTATGTTAATGGATTTCCCGTGTTTTACTTGTCTAGGCTAGGGTTTCTCAACAGCAGCACTATTGACGTTTTGGGCTGGAGAATTCTTTGTTATGGGGCTGTCTGTGCCCCGCAGGGTATTAGCAGCACCCCCAGCCTCCGCCTGCCACACGCCAGTAGCACTCCTCAGCTGTGACAGCCAAAATGATCTCAGATATTGCCAAATGTCCCCAGGGAGACAAAGTCACCTCCAGTTGAGAACTGCTGACCTGAAAACCTCTGGAACAATGTTAGATCACGGGGATGATAGCACACACTGCTTCTGACCTTACTGGGAATACCTCCAGTATCAAAGTATAACGGTACCTGCATACTACGGTCTGGGCTGCTATATTACCATACTGTATTAGTCCATTCTCATGCTGCTCTGGAGAAATACCCACGGCTGGATAATTTATAAAGAAAAGAGGCTTAACTGACTCACAGTTCTGCAGGGCTGGGAAGGCCTTAGGAAACTCACAAATATGGCAGAAAACACCTCTCCACGGAGCAGCAGGAGAGAGAAAGAAAACGAAATACATGGGAAAGCCCGTTATAAAACCATCAGATCTCATGAGAACTCACTATCACGTGAACATCGTGGGAGAAACCGCCCCCGGGATTCAATTACCTCCACCTGTTTCCATCCCCACACGTGGTGATTATTATAGTTCAAGGTGAGATTTGGGTGGGGATACAGCCAAATTGAATCATATCCTTCACATTAACATACTGTATCAAAGTATAATTTTCTTTTTCTTTGAGACAGAGTCTTGCTCTGGCTGGAGTGCAGTGGCACGATAGTTCACTGCAACCTGTGCCTTCCAAGTTCAAGCAATTCTTGTGCTTCAGCCTCCCAAGTAGCTGGAACTTCAGGTGTGAGCCACCATACCTGGCTAATTTGGATTTTTTTTTTTTGGTAGAGATGGGGTTTCACCATGTTGACCAGGCTGGTGTCAAACTCCTGGCCTCAGGTGGTCTGGCCACTTCAGCCACCGCACCCAGCCTGAAGTATAATGTTCATAATGTGAAAAGCATGACTTTCATACAAATAATGAAGAAATATATATAAGACATTTTCTTTAATTCATAAGGGAGTCAGCAACTGGTGAAGCTACTTCAAGGAGCCAGTGAACTGAGAGACAGTGTCTGTAGTGCTCCAGGAAGGGCATTCTGAAATGCATTCTGACACAGAGACAAAACTTGTTAATATCCTATAGGAAGGCCGGGCACGGTGGCTCACGCCTGTAATCCCAGCACTTTGGGACACTGAGGTGGGCAGATCACCTGAGATCAGGAGTTCAAGACCAGTCTGGCCAACATGGTGAAATCCTGTCTGTTAAAAATACAAAAATTAGCCAGGCGCAATGTCAGGAACCTGTAGTCCCAGCTACTCGGGAGGCTGAGGCAGGAGAATTGCTTGAACCTGGGAGTCATAGGCTGCAGTGAGCCGAGATCATGCAGTCCAGCCTGGGCAACAGAGCAA